TTTTTTTTTTTTTTTTTTTTTTTTTTTTTTTTTTTTTACATAGAGTTTTTCTGCTCTGTTTGTCTGATTGCATCCGGATTCGAGCTCCGGGGCTAGGTCCCACTTGCACGCATTAAGAGATACTGACCGTAGATAGCAAAGATCAACGGCCGAAATCTCCTAATCCGTGCAGGTGGGACCTTGCCACCGGCCTGTAAGTTTTCATGGGTGTACCAACTGAAGGCATACTCACACTAATAAAGAGTTTTTCAACGCCTCTTTTTTTTTTTCTTTTTTTTTTTTCAACGTCCCTGTGGACGTGATAGTGGTAAAGTGCATCCAGGAAAGTCCTACCCTTGTGCCCCCGAATACAACGTACCCTCATGATGGCTGCACCGGACGAGAAAGATAGCTTTTATACATTCATTATCAGGGGTGCGTTGTGTTCGGGGCGAAAGATGGAAGCGTGAGCATGCCCTGAGCTACGGTAGGCCCGTTGGTACAACCATGAACTGTTTTTTTTTTTGTTTTTTTGTTTTTTTTTTCAACCATGAACTGTTGATCAGATGAACAGTCAAATAATTCTGAATTACCTGTGCCGGCCAATTTTTTTTTTATTTTTTATTTTTTTTTTCGAAGGGAGATAGCCTTGAGGTATCATCATTGAGCTGACCGGCCCCAGGTTTTTTTTTTCCAGATATGTCTTTTTTTTTATAACAAAAACAAAGCTTTTCTAGTGCGGGCCCGAGGCAGTAGATAGATTAAAGATAGTGTAAAAAACCCAGAGGTCAACTGGCCTCGGACCGTAACCCTGAGGCCAAGCCTCAGCTCGGCAGAAGATCAGAATGAAGTCCTAAAGGACAGAAATCAGAATTTGTTTCCCCCCTTTTTTTCTCTCTCTTTTTCCTCCCCCTTACTTTCAGACAGTCGCACGGATTTTTCTGGCATATGGGTGTGTACGCCATCCCGGTTAACTAATCACTGGCAGAATCATGTATACCTAGGGCCTCGCTCCACTACTCGAGACTCCCGAAGTTTCGAGAGTGACGCCTGGCTCCACTTACTCTAGACTGGAACTCGTGACAACACCCTTCGAGAGCTGTCACCACTCGGGTTGTTCTTTCAAAAAAAAAAAAAAAAAAAAGCGCTCTCGAGGTGCACTCTCGATTTTTTGTAGTATAGAGTTCACAGCCTGCAACACTCAGGTTTTCTAGCGTCCTCTCTCCTACCCCCGCTCCGGCCTCTTCTTTTCGCGACTGTCAGAACGAGCTGGCGCTGTCATGTAGCGCTGAGAAATTTGTGAGTGCTTCTAGAGTTCTCGAGTCTGGAGTAAGTGGAGTGATGCCTCGTTTTTCAAGAGTACTAGACCTCTTGCAGCTCTAGAAGTACTCACAATTTTTTTCGTGAGTCTAGTGTGGTAGAGCGAGACCACTAAGCAGTAACTGTTGC